AATTTAACATCTACAAATTTAATTTGTATTAAAAAAATCTTAGATAATAACAAAATTTAAATTCAGAAAAATTTATTAAATACAATTTTTTCTGATATATAAACAGAAGCCTCAGATACACTTAGCTATCTATATCTTGAATAGTTCATTGAATCGTAGCAATTAATTCTAGTAGCAAAGCAAATTAATGAATTGTAAAATTACACTCGTAAGAAGATATAGGTCGGATTACTTGCTTGCACGGATGTCTTACGGTTGGAGAAACTGGAATCAGCAGGATAACATATTATCTCGGTCCTGGAGTCTCGAGCATTCCTTAGCTAAGCATTTCACGAATACACTATACATGTGCGCAGTATTGATAAGGTAAGGGCGTAAATACTGAGTGGAAACTCCCCAAAGTCTTAAGTATGATATTTTCGGAAAATCAATAGTTAGCGGCATACTCGCGGTAATGCAACTTAGTCACTTTATCAAGTTAACATGTAGTAGAGCTTTAGATAAATAATGGGTCATGCCGCTCCTATCGTATTTAGAACGTATGCCCTGTGTCACTTGACGGATTTCAGCGAGATGTTTCAGAGATGCTGACGCGTAATTAATATTGACTCATGTCTGCATATCACGTTTACTATACTCTCAACCGTGATAAGGTTTATTCACACGTCACGAATACAATCGTTCGAATACGATTATCTGTATTTATACATTAACAATATCATTTGCCTGTGAATATTTGTTAATCGAGAAATTTGTAAATCTATATAAACTATCACAATTTGTACGACTCATAATTCTAAATAGAAAAAAGTTTCATGCTTGCTATTTGTGGGTAATCACGCAGATAATGAATTTAATAGATAACATTAGTAAATTGTGCAAGCTGTTTGTCTGACTAGATTGCATCGGTTTATTATTGAGGTTGTTTATTCTGTTATTGTCAGTAAAGCGAAATCTAAAACGTCATGACGTGATTTAATGTTTCGTATATATAGATAAGTAATTATTTCCTACCAAGAGATGGTTATTAATTTCCACATAGTATTGTATTTATACTTCACATTATATTTAGTTTATATTTACGTCACGACGTTTTATTTATAATTGAAGAGAGAGAACTCTTTGTAAGACAGAATCAATACAATTAACCTAGGTATACTAAGTGTACACATATCGATTGTAACATTTTTTATGTTCGGAAATGTTTCCTATTTTGAATCTAGTCATCAGTTTTCAATTTTGAACTCGGCAAAAAATTGGAAAAAAATTACAAAGTTTAAGTAGACCGAGTCTAGTTACCTTATATATATATATATA